CGAATGACGTAATGACACGTATACCAAGATCACCGAATGAGACGAAATGACACGTATACCAAGGGTCACCGAATTAGTAATGACACGTATACCAAGGATTACGCAATGACGTAACGTATGTGTACACCCCATCAGAACAGTGACCTCCATCTTATCTTCTGTACATAAACATCATAAGCTGATCACAGATTTCTTGACACATGGATCTTACTTTACCCCTTTGCTTATAATATTTTTATATACAAAGATACGTAATCAGCCGTACACAGACAGCCCCGTCTCTGTGAAGTGGAAACAGGACCGGTGTAAAAGCTTCATCATCATCCTAGGCCAGCGATACGAACCGTACGTCAAAACATCAGTATTTTGGGTGTGATAAGATTGAATTTGTTCTGACATATACGCATTCCTCCGTATCTTGCTAATTTAGACCAGTGATGCTCGGAGAACTAAGAAACGCATAAGAACTCAACTCCAGGAAAGCTTTCGACCATAGGCGTGCTGTGCTGACTTCTATATTCCATTACAGTTAATTACTCAGTTTATAAAACATGCAATGCCGCTTACGTAGAAGAGTGTTCATCTAATAGAGCGTGGTGAGAATTCTCCCCACAAAACACGTGGGTGTCTGGTACAGGAAACATGTCGCCTCTGAATTTCGGACTAAAAACTCATGAAAAAACGTTTTCTATTTGTCAGTAATTTCCAGTTTGAAAGGTTGAGGAAGGGAACACTATCCGTGCAGAGTTGTGTCCCTTAAGTATTACAGGATCCGTTGATTCAGAATTTGAATATCAGAAAACAATCCTTGGTCTTTAAGTGTGGCAATTGGTTTACCGGTCAACTTGAAAGAATGGGGATTCCGTGTTTAGCCTGACCGTAATCATACCATGCTGGTAGTATGGGATCCCTTTGTGGGAATGGGTGGTTGATTATGTGCCCTAATGGAGATGATCGATGCTCACACTGTCAATCACTGGATTGTGTAATCCGGATAAATTGTTACGGCGGTGAGTGTTACGTTCAGCAGCGAACACATACACACGCATACGTACACAGACAGGCACATGCATACACACGCACGCCCGCATGTCCACATACACTTGTATTAGCGTTAGCGTTAACCAAACTCAATCACTCACTCACTTAGGTGTAGTGTGGTATGATTGCATTACACTGACATGCTGGGTCTGTGAAAGCATCACAGTGTTGGGCGGCCTCAGTTATTGTTAGCACAACCTTTCTTTCAAGTCCCATTATTTCTACAATTACTTCACAGGTTCCTAAACTAAAGCAGAATGGTTCACTGTTTTGAAAAAAAAATTGGATCTTTCAGCTTTGAAATCCCATTTTAGTACCATGCAATTCTTTTAGCCGCTGATCTTTGATTCATTTTCTTCACAGCTTGTCGGACCAATTTTTTAATCCTTGGATTTGACTGCAAACTGCGTTTATATAAAACATGTTTGGGCTCTTTACAGAGGCCCCGCCCTATCCACAGGGCACCAGGGCTGCTTATCACAGCCCCAAATGTCAACTGATAAACATGTTTAACTTGTATTTCTGACTTTTCAAAGTATTGCGAAGTTTGTTGAGATAAGCGGCAGCAGTCATACAAGCTACGAGCAAGTAGGCAAATTAAGTCGGATACTGCCTTACAGATTTCACGCTGAAAATGTCTGCCACTGAAAGACGTATCTTCGCAGGTGCGCGAGCTTCGTGTCAGAGAAAGAAAACGAAGAAATTAGCTGGTTGAAAGAGCGGGGAAACATATCTTATTGTGGCTGAGATGTTCTCCTGTTTTCATAACGTGATGAGAGACGCGCCCCCTTGCTCAAATATTAAATTAGCTCGATTATCTCCCCTTAGTGCGCACTTGCCGATACCCTTCCTGTGGCAAAATAACCTGTCTATTTAAAGGGTACAACAATATTTTTGCACTTGAAAGAAGGAGGTGACGACGGGTTTATTGGAGTTATAACTTACATCCTAAGAGCTACATTAATATGATTTTAACATAAGATTCGTGGAGATTGCGGGATATACAGTAAATAAGCTGTGTTGGGGGAGAGAGGAAGCTAATCGTATTGGGTGGTCAGGTTCGGCGACGTTGTTGATTACGTGGTATTGTTAAGTTTATAATGATAATTTTCAAGCTGTTAAATAACTGGAATATTGTCATTTCTGGCGTCCAATATGAAAATATAATTCATTTGGAATTTGGATGTGCAGCTATTAAATCGTCCAGATATTGGTATCACCGTCTTGTAATATAACGGTAACCAAAAACGGCTTATAAGCCATACTCACAAATTCATTCATACTGTTCTGGTTTTTCCCTCGACACCACGAAATAATTTAGGAATAACGGTAAACAAACATAAAGCATCAAGGGTATTTTCTCTATTGACATCAATAAACAAACGTGCAGGGTAACATGAAGCTGACCGGCAGTTATCTCCCCTGTATTTGTAATGTCAACAAAGAAACATGAAACGAAACCTTCTACGCTTAGCAATGGTTTTACGATTACAACATTACCGTGTTGTGGTGCCGGGCGTGTGTTCTGGAGCGGAGCGAGGAAGATGGATGGCTTTGAAGTTCTGCTACAAGACGTCTGGCAGGACCACGAGTGGTGCCAACTTATCATGCTATGTGGCTAAGCTTGCTGTGATAGCCAGAATATCAACAAGAACCGTTCACAGGAAATTATGGTAACGGGTTATGATATTATTCTGATGAGTGAGAAGCCGTTTGGGTTTCAGGTTTGTGCACATTTATATATGGCCGAATCCATTTATGGATCATTTTTCTCGAAAACACTTGCATATTTTTAGCGAATCAAATACAAACAGAAAAAACCAGATGGAAATTATTTATTTCATCCTTGTATAGATTCCTCCAAAAACGACCTTATTTGTTATTGACTGTGGGGCAAAGGAAGGCTTGCCGAGTTTAATTGAAAGCACGTTTGTCAAATTTGATTATGTCCATTTCGTAAAAACACATTCCTGTGACAGTTCGTGAAAAGTATCCAGTGACTGGGTAATTTTGTCTAAGAATCAACAGTTAAAACGAAGACTTGGGAAAGAAATGAATTTTCAGGCATGTGACCCCTTTTATGTTGTACTGTGTAAATTTGTACTGAACAAATAGCAAATTTGTTGATGGCCTAAGATGCCAATCACAGTTTGAGTTTTTTTCGAAAACAAATGGATATGATTTTAAGAAAAGGTCAAATTGTATTTTTAAGAATAGAACTACGTGGAAGTAATCTTTGAGTGCTGGCGAACTAGCATAGGTACCGTTCAGTTTGGGTGTATAGTATTGATAAACAAATCAAACATATGATAAAACCAACTGAAATATGTAATTTCTTTTTACCCTCGCCTGCTGTGTTTCATTCAGGGATTACAGTTCACTTTGATAACCCAGGTGTGTGTTACATCTGTTAGTTAAACCGTTATGACATAATGTCGATAATATTATTTTTATCCTAAATTCGGTGTAGACTGAGCTGAATTTTATCATGGTCATCACGTTACATTGCCTTATGTTAATGAGTTAATCCTGAAATAATCGTCTTGAAGGTACTTGTAAGAAACTACTAGTACTTAGTTTTGACATGGGAGTGTCGAGGTATATAACTCATGAACTTACAGGCTAAACAATGCGCCCCGCATCTTGAACCTCGTTAAGTCGAACAGTTTTGCGCACAGAATGTTTATGCATCCAACAATTCCGGATACAACTGACTCCGTGCGTGCGTGCGTGCGTGCGTGCGTGCGTGCGTGCGTGCGTGCGTACCTGCCTGCCAGTCTACCTACCAGCATACCTTGGCACGTCACTCCTCAACAAACAGAGTATCATCTCTTATCATCTTCAGATAAAACCAACCTTGACAAAACAAACATGAACACAACAAACCCGAGATACTGGATATATCAAATGTGGATTTATCAAATTCGGATACACGATGCAACAAATGCATACAACAAACCTGCATACAACAAACCTGCATACAACGAACCTGCATACAACAAACCTGCATACAACAAACCTGCATACAACAACCTGCATACAACGAACCTGCATACAACGAACCTGCATACAACGAACCTGCATACAACAAACCTGCATACAACGAACCTGCATACAACAAACCTGCATACAACAAACCTGCATACAACGAACCTGCATACAACAAACCTGCATACAACAAACCTGCATACAACAAACCTGCATACAACAAACCTGCATACAACGAACCTGCATACAACGAACCTGCATACAACAAACCTGCATACAACAAACCTGCATACAACAAACCTGCATATAACGAACCTGCATACAACAAACCTGTATATAACGAACCTGCATACAACAAACCTGCATACAACAAACCTGCATACAACAAACCTGCATACAACAAACCTGCATACAACGAACCTGCATACAACAAACCTGCATACAACAAACCTGCATACAACAAACCTGCATACAACGAACCTGCATACAACAAACCTGCATACAACAAACCTGCATACAACAAACCTGCATACAACAAACCTGCATACAACAAACCTGCATACAACAAACCTGCATACAACAAACCTGCATACAACGAACCTGCATACAACAAACCTGCATACAACAAACCTGCATACAACAAACCTGCATACAACAAACCTGCATACAACAAACCTGCATACAACAAACCTGCATACAACGAACCTGCATACAACGAACCTGTATATAACCACAGACCAAGCTACAACACACCTAAGGACATTCCTGTAAACAACAAACCTTATTTCAACAATCCAAGGGACCCCGACATTCGTTGTTAGAAAGAAGATTAGTGATTTTATACATTTCCAGAAGATTATTACAATTCCATTTGTTGCCATGACAGCATCACTATATCCGAGTTCGTGATACCCAGGGCCAACTGATCAGCATTTCAAGCATACAAGTCAGCTGTTCTACAAATGACATACCTTCTCTTCCTAAGTGTGATTTTCATATCATCTCCCTTTACCATCTGTCATGGTTCCTGTAGGAAGTAGAGTCATGTCGAACTCATGGCCGCTTACGTTGGAGCCTCAGCTCACATTTGTTATATCTGTTTGCACCGGCGTTCAAAACACAACCCCGCCAAAGTAAATAAGAGAAACGGTTTCGAACATGTTTCAAGGGACATTTGAAGTAGCGTTGAACACATCTTATTTGAAGGCTTCCCCTGTCGATGAGCGTTAAGTTCCTGGTCGTTATAAAGTCATTACAAGGGTATGTCAAGGCATCATATTGGATACAGAGCGCAAGATGTTGCCACTGAGTGAGTGAGTGAGTGAGTGGGATGCTATATATATATGTTACAAAAAGAGATGTTGTATGACAGATTGTGCAAATTTTGTGCACTAAATGTAATTGAAGATGAGTTCCACTTTTTGCTGGTATGTCCTTACTATACTGATTTAAAGACAAAATATCTACCACAATATTACTATTCATATCCTACAATGTTTAAATTTAATGTGATAATGAACTCTAATAATACAACTTATATTCGCAAACCTGGTATATATATCCACCATGCTTTTGAACATAGAAGACAACGTTTGCAAACATTCTGATTGTATGCCATTATTGTTACCATACTTTATACTATAGGCCTGTGGCCTCTTCAGTAATGGAATAAAGAGTTGACCGCCTTTTGGGAATTAGGGCCCCTCTCCACTAAGTGACCGCAGCGTAAGACGATCTTATGTCCTATACATTAGCATAGGGTTACGCAAGTCGTTGCGCTATGTGCGCTTTGTCCGACTGGTCCCATGACTTTACAAAGTGGTGGAGGATGGTATGAGCATTGCTACCCGGTTAGGCATCAGCGACAAGCTGCCAGTCAGGTAAGAGAATAGAGCTGACCTACCGTCACACTTCTCAATAGCAATCATATAATGGTGTCGTTCATCTCAAGCGTTGCTTCTGTATTTAACCATGTTGGCCAACGGTCCGACAGGTCGCGTACTTTCAGCCATTACATTTCTTCCACTGACACATATAGTTGGTTTTTCATAACTCATTCACACAGAAGGCATGACATCACACACAGTCAAACGGATATCCTAATCCAAGTCACTTACAGTCAAACTGATATCGCACTACAAGTCACCGTCAACCAGATATCATAACAGGAAGCATTTATAGGTCACATAGTCACTAAGATAGTGTAAAAGTAGGTCATTGGGTCACTCACAGTCAAACACATATCGTAATAGATCTAGAAGGTCAATAGATCACTCGCAGTCAAACATATATCGAAATAGATCTAGAAGGTCAATAGATCATTCGCAGTCAAACATATATCGAAATAAAATGTCAATAGATCACTCGCAGTCAAACACATCGTAATAGAAGGTCAATAGGTCACTCGCAGTCAAACACATATCGTAATAGAATGTCAACTGGTCACCCTAAGTTAAACTGACAATGTAAGAGATGGTCAGTAAGTCATTCTCAGTTACACTGATAACGTAATAGAAGGTCACCCACAGTCACCCATATAGCGTAACAGAAAGTCGGAATGTTACTCACACATTTTGCATAAAAGACGGCCATTGAACCATTTAGTCACACTGCGTCATAGAAGGTCACCGTGTCACCCAGAAGGCCTTACGCCTGACTGACATTGCTAAGAGATCATAACAGTAAACTGCTGAGACTTTTTTTTCAAGATAGTTGTTTCTCGTGTACTGCTGGGCAGGTGGTGCCTGGTCAAGTGAACTGATGCTGCCCTAGAACATCCCTGATGCTGTTCATCCTCAAACTGTGCTAGAGTCATGTCGAACTCATGGCCGCTTACGTTGGAGCCTCAGCTCACAGTTGTTATATCTGTTTGCACCGGCGTTCAAAACACAACCCCGCCAAAGTAAATAAGAGAAACGGTTTCGAACATGTTTCAAGGGACATTTGAAGTAGCGTTGAACACATCTTATTTGAAGGCTTCCCTGTCGATGAGCGTTAAGTTCCTGGTCGTTATAAAGTCATTACAAGGGTATGTCAAGGCATCATATTGGATACAGAGCGCAAGATGTTGCCACTGGTGTGAGTGGTGGGTGAGTAAGTGGATGCTATATATATATGCACAAACAGAGATGTCGTATGACAGATTGTGCAAATTTTGTGCACTAAATGTAATTGAAGATGAGTTCCACTTTTTCCTTAATATACTGATTTAAAGACTAAATATCTACCACAATATTACTATTCATATCCTACCCTGTTTAAATTTAATTTGATAATGAACTTTAATAATACAACTTATATTCGCAAACCTGGTATGTATATCCACCATGCTTTTGAACATAGAAGACAACGTTTGCAAACAGTCTGATTGTATACCATTATTGTTACCATACTTTATACTATAGGCCTGTGGCCTCTTCAGTAATGGAATAAAGAGTTGACCGCCTTTTGGGAATTAGGGCCCCTCTCCACTAAGTGACCGCAGCGTAAGACGATCTTATGTCCTATACATTAGCATAGGGTTACGCAAGTCGTTGCGCTATGTTCGCTTTGTCCGACTGGTCCCATGACTTTACAAAGTGGTGGAGGATGGTATGAGCATTGCTACCCGGTTAGGCATCAGTGACAAGCTGCCAGTCAGGTCAGAGAATAGAGCTGATCTACCGTCACACTTCTCAATAGCAATCATATAATGGTGTCGTTCATCTCAAGCGTTGCTTCTGTATTTAACCATGTTGGCCAACGGTCCGACAGGTCGCGTACTTTCAGCCATTACATTTCTTCCACTGACACATATAGTTGGTTTTTCATAACTCATTCACACAGAAGGCATGACATCACACTCAGTCAAACGGATATCCTAATCCAAGTCACTTACAGTCAAACTGATATCGCACTACAAGTCACTGTCAACCAGATATCATAACAGGAAGAATTAGGTCACATAGTCACAAAGATAGTGTAAAAGTAGGTCATTGGGTCACTCGCAGTCAAACACATATCGTAATAGATCTAGAAGGTCAATAGATCACTCGCAGTCAAACATATATCGAAATAGATCTAGAAGGTCAATAGATCACTCGCAGTCAAACATATATCGAAATAAAATGTCAATAGATCACTCGCAGTCAAACACATATCGTAATAGAAGGTCAATTGGTCACACGCAGTCAAACACATATCGTAATAGAATGTCAATTGGTCACCCTAAGTTAAACTAACAATGTAAGAGATGGTCAGTAAGTCATTCTCAGTTACACTGATAACGTAATAGAAGGTCACCAACAGTCACCCATATAGCGTAACAGAAAGTCGGAATGTTACTCACACATTTTGCATAAAAGACGGCCATTGAACCATTTAGTCACACTGCGTCATAGAAGGTCACCGTGTCACCCAGAAGGCCTTACGCCTGACTGACATTGCTAAGAGATCATAACAGTAAACTGCTGAGACTTTTTTTTCAAGATAGTTGCTTCTCGTGTACTGCTGGGCAGGTGGTGCCTGGTCAAGTGAACTGATGCTGCCCTAGAACATCCCTGATGCTGTTCATCCTCAAACTGTGCTTGTCTGTGTGTAAAATCATGCACTATCCGTTAGAATTGTGCAGTCAGGTGGTGCAGGTCTCTGATGAAACGCATATAGCGTGATGAGAACGGCTGCACAGTAATTAAACAGCTGTGCATCAATGTAGCACCGGCGTGTGATGGGCGCTATCACTAAGGTTAAGTCTTGTGTATTTGGGCTTGTGTTGAAAACTCCTCAGGGAAATATATTACTGTGAATGATTTAACCAAGACTGGGTTTTCAACAACAGATAATATGATCCATAATAGCGGCTTACGGTTATGTTTGTCGTACAACAAGCAACTGAAAATAACAGCTTAGGTTATTAACAAATTATAGCTTAGATATTGGTGTCTGTGCAAATTTATAATATGACATCCGGCTTGTCAAAGTAACCTTCAGTTCCTTAAAAACACGTAGAAGCAAGAATATTCTTTTAATTGTTGTATGTCTCGCTACAATTTAAATATAACAGACGCAGCTCTGAGTTCGTTACTCATGGTAATCACATGGTGACAAAGAACTAGATTATGCATGTGCACAGACAGGTGCTGCCTGGTTCCCGGGGTCTGCTGCGCTAGCGCTTCAGTGAATCAGGCTGCGACAGGTGCAATCCAAACACTCAGATGCACTTAAATGCACGTGCACGAACACCACCACAATGGTAGATGCAAAAACTAATATAGTCGACCCCGGTCCTCGACTTCAAATTACATGTTCATATTGATATGCAATCTCTATATGCACAAGAAATTCTATATTTAAACTATAATCAACTCACTAATTCTAAACAATTAACGAACACTGGATGAGGTGGAATGCAGGCCTTACTGCAGTTACGGTGTGTCGACAATCGAGTGTGTGACAGGTACAACAGTGGTCGACGGCGGTCCGCACTATAATGATACTATGATACCTTAACCAAGTCCCAGACACCAGTTTCGTGATAGTGAGAGTTGTTTAAAATTAGGAAAATAGATCAATGGTTTGATTTTCTTTACCTGCCAACTGTGCGCCATCGCACATATTGGAGATATGATAGCCTTGTGGTTAAAGCAGTATCTCGCCATACTGAATACCCGGGTTTGATGCCCACATGGGTATAGTGTGTGAGGCCCATGTTTGACATCGCGGAGATATTGCTAGAATATTGCTAAAAGCGACGCAAACAACACTCACTCACATATGGTACGGGGCGGTGGGGTAGCCTAGTGGTTAAAGCGTTGGCCGAAGACCCGGGTTCGAATCCCCACATGGGTACAATGTGTGAAGTCCATTCCCGGTGTCCCCCGCCGTGATGTTGCTGGAATATTGCTAAAAGCGGCGTAAAACCAAACTCAGTCAGTCACTCACATATGGTACACATAAAGTGACTTATGCTTCTAACAAAGGGCTAGGCTGCTATATTGCCGTCAGTCGCTTTAGGCCACACCCACTTATGCCTGGCGCAATACCTGACTCATGAGCCATCTACGGCATGGCTTTGACGGAGTGGAT